CGTGGATAGTGCAGGATCCATCAGTTTTTTAGCAACCAACGGATGAAATCACTAGAATAGTGGAGTACTAGAGACTGGAACATAACGAGGTTAGGGCAGTAAGCCATCAGGTCTCTAATAAAAATTTCAACTCGTACTCGCTTTGTCTGATACATGTCTTGAAACTTGAATGATGTTACCCATGTCAATACCTTACATCACTAAATTATTCCATCTTGAATAAATATCGTCCCTGTTTCCTGTTTTATCCTTGGACTCCGGCCCTCTAAAATTCTTTGCATTACTAACCTATTTGTTTATTAGGTTTATAATACATTCGTCTTCTCATCATTATAATTTTCTCTGTACTAAGGAAACTAAAATCCTCACGACCAGAAAAGTCACCGGGTTGTTACAGTATTCGCCCCATAGTCTTGAAACAATGTGCAGAAGTCCTCTTCTCACCGACATGTGACCCGTTCAGGCATTTACTAGAGTCACACCAACTCCCAGCTGAATGGAAGCCAGCTACTTTCTCTCCAATCGTAGGGTCCGCTTCTCTTCTTGATTTTTATTAACGACCTGTTGGACTTAGATAGCTCTCCGGCATTGATCTACGCAGACGATGAGATCTGTTGGTATATTAGAAGAGAATTGGATTCGACTGAGCTTCAAAAGGACCTTACATCTATTGAGGGATGGGCAGTGAGAAACGGTTTAAAACTCAACCAACCGAAGTGTCATGTCATGCATATTATGTCCAACATGACGCAAAAGATTGACACCCTCAATGTATGTCGGCTCCCTACTGTCTCCTCAGAGCGCGATCATGGTTTAATAACCACAGAAAGCGTTCACACGAGCCTGAATTATTTAGGGGACGTAGCCAAGGCAAATGCGAATCTTCACTTTATGCTAAGGCAACTTGGAGCTATCACCCCAGAATTATTTATAACACTATTCAAGACACGCGTCCACACCTGGAGGTTCAAAACATCATCGCAGCCCCTCGGCTTAAGAGAGACATAAATCTCTTGGATCGAGTGTAGAGATGAGCAATCAAATGGGTGAAAAGTTTGAAGAATAAACCTTACGAAGATAGATTCCAGTACTTTGGATTATTGCCTCTGAGTTACGGAAGGATCAGAGGTGCTCCGATGATGGCGTACAACATATTAAGCACGCCAAACCATCCCAACGTCAGCATCTTACCGATGCATCGCCAACAACTCCCCTCGAGGGAATCCTCGAAAAATTGCACATCAAAGAGCGAATACTAAGATTCGTGCACATTTTTTCTCATTGAGAGTCGTCACAACTTGCAATGCTTTCCCAGCCGAGGTGACCACAGCCCCCTCAGTAGACAGCCTTAAGAAGAGACTTGATAGTAACGTACTGACATACGGGTTATCATCTCCCTCTTGGACAAGCTGAACCTATGCATGTCTTAAGACCTGCTACTTGTTATCATTGTCATCTCAGATCAATCAGTCAATCTATCTCGCACATTGTCTCTGTTTCCTCTACGTTGCTTATACTTCGGTTCACTCTCACAATCTTCACAAACAATTAATAAACTAAAATATCCATACATTACTTAGTTCTGAAATCCTCTTATTAGCATTAGAATTTTCTCCTTATTATTCTTCACCTTGCAACTAACTGATCTCCGTTCTCGTAATGTGATGGCCGCTGATATCCTGAAGCAATCGTTTTCATTCAAATCGTAGGACATACAAGCCCAAATGCCAACTGACTAGAATTAGACAGTCAAGTGACTAGACCCTCATTCATTGGACACAACCAAACACCTGGAACCGTACCGAAAGAACAAGAATCGAGCGCAAAGAAACCAATTGGTTTATACTAGCTCGTGAAAAAGATATTGGATATTGGCTAGACTATTGTTCATCTGATATCTCAAAAGACAAGAAATCACTGTAAGGCAGCAATGAGTTTGTATTAGTTTGTGATGAATACAGAAGATATTGGATGTTGGAATTGGCTCACATCTATCTCGTTACACGAACATTTACCCTTATTACTCTCCGCATTGCAACTAACTGATCAACGGTTTGGTAATGTGACGGCTGCTAGTATCCAGAAACCCTACTGCCCTGAAACAAACGTTTCATTCAAATCCCGAGACATACAAACTCACAACCAACTGCCAACTGACTAGAATTAGACAGTCGAGTGGCTAGACCTCCATCCATTGGACATTACCGAACACCTGGAACCGTACCGAAAGAACAAGAATCGAGCGCGAAGAAATCAAATTGGTTTACACTAGCTCGTGAAAAAGATATTGGATATTGGAACATTGGATTTGTCAGCGCGTGTTACCAACTTGTAACCTACGTCAAGGTCGAATGGTTTTTACCACCTAGTTAGTCGCAAGAATGCTTGTTTAATATTAAGAGAGAGTAATTATTGACTGAAATTCACTTTTTCCAAAGTATTGCGATTTCTGTTGCTACTCGGTCTTATTATGTAGACCTTAAAACAATATGTCAACAAGTGTAGACTAACTGAAAAAACTTCTGACTTTATATTATAATAAGTAGTCGTAAGAGTTAGAGTAAATTCATTACTTTAGTAGAAAATAATTACTTATATCTACTTATGTCAAAATTATGTCTTAATATCATCGACCGCAGTACATAGGTTATTAGGGTTTCCATTGTGAAATACTCTCATTTTTATTCAAAAAAGGTTACTTAAATATTTGATCCGATTGACTTCCCTGGAGTTTTATTAGTTCATCTATTAAGTTTACTTTCACCATCTTCCTTAGTGTATGCAAAGCTCGATAGTGTTTTCTAAAGACGAGTCTAGATTGCTCATTACTGTAAAAAGGTTGATATGATGTGTTCTGTAGTGTCAAAACTGGTACATGTCTTTATAACAGAACGTGTAAGCTAAGATTCCTTTCCATCTCTTCCTAAACGTAGTGGTTAATTAGTACTCTTCTAATTGTTGAAATCCATGTCTTCGGTTATTCTTTCTTTGACGGTTTGTTTTAGTTACTTACTGTCGCTTATACGTTTCTGTAGATTTGCGTATAATATTTGTGACGTTTATGTAGTACTTTTAGATTTTTGATTATGCTTTCTACAAAATCACCAACAGTGATGTATTGTGATTATTTTGATATGTTCACGCATCACTATGAACAAATAAGAGTTCACACTTAATTTCGTTCATCATATCAACTTCAATAAGAGTCAGAGGACATACGTCAATTTGCCATTCAGGTTGACTAGAGATCGTGTGGCCGAAGGCCAGTTGAACTGGTCACTAAAGTGCTCCGTCCATCGTTTCATTCTTCTGGATTGAGAGTGAATACTCGTCCCATCTTTTTCCGACAGTCTCACTGACAGTTGAATTTCCATTTCCGGTTCCCTTAATAAGTCAGAACTGTTGTCTACTGTTACCTATCGTCACCGCCTCTACCATCTATTTTGCTTTCGCCACTCACCACCGTTCGCTCACTCCACTCTTCGTCATGTTCAGAGCCAGATAGGATGAGTTTCGCAGGATCTATCAGTTCAGTAGATTCTACTGAGATTCACTGCTCTTCCTTAACCTTATAGTTTACCTGACTGGCAGATATCACTGCTGTTTCCACAGTTTTTTTGGTATCATTCTAAGCCGCCTCGGGATGGAAATCACTAACGTGGCTGCCTAACTGATTTTCTAGTTGCTCTTGAAATGTGCTCTTGGTTTTGCCATCAATAAGTAAAACAACAAGAGCTTTCCCTTCAGTGTCTTTCTTACATCCATTAAGATGCAGACAAATACGCGCCCGCACTAGAGCAATATCTGAGTCTGAACATGTGCTTCAAAATGGGTGACAGTCCTCTATCGAGCCTCCAGCAGCGACTGATAGCAATGTGATCTAGTCAAGTCCAGTGTTGGGATGACTCTAGGGGTCGCCATGTCAAAAGATGTTTTTCCTTGTGCTTAAAGTTAGTATTTGCTAGGAACAGGCGGTTACCTGAGCGTAGCTGCAACAGAAAATCACCATCGTCTGTTCGATCAGCAGCGATACCATAAGATCCACCCAGGTGTATTCCCTTTTCTCTTAGTCTACCTTTTCAAGCATTAAAGTCAGCGCCTAACTTTTTGGAGGAGGTCCGGAAGCTTCCTGTGAAACTCATCTTTTACTTCATCTGAGCTGCATTGTTTGAGAGCGTCCGCAGATACGACGAAGAGGCAATGCTGAGTGTCCCTATCTTTGCCAGTCCTTACGGTACAGTTTAATCGGACAGCGCACAGGCGACTCTCTACTTGGATCCAGTCTAAGAGAGCTAGTTCTACCCTAGTACTCAATGCTATATCTACGCCTGTGAGGCCATGAGGAGCATTTGGGCTCCCAGATACATGGAGCGTAAATCGAGATGGTTCTTCATTTTGACGGATCATGTGTGCGCCTTTTGGAGACGCTAAAGAAGCCTGTCGTTCTATTCGGCACACGGTTCGAACATTGAAGCATCAAACATGTCATTTAGAGCATGGTTTCAGGAGACCAAAAATAACGTTTCGCGAACTTGCATCGTTTGTATCAGCGGTGCGGGGTGATAAAGGAATGTGAGATTTAGTCATGAAGGTAAAAGAGTTCTTTTTAAGAGGATAGGATTGTGACTAGTTTGGTCTCATCTGCCCTTACGAGTGTTAGGGCGAATATCACTTCCGGGCTGCCCACACCATGTAAGTGTGTTTCTTGAGGAACCTGAAAAAGAAGTTGGATTGGTGTTGGTCTTAGAGACCTGATAGCGTGACTACAGAGCGCAAGGGACAACTATTTGAGACCGGTCAGACACGGCCTTTTTATTGGAAGTTTCGAAAGTTCTAGGTCCGCTCTTCAAATGGCCTTACTGACGGTGATGGTTCCAGTTTGATAGATAGATTCTTATCACCACGGTGGTACTTGAGTGGATCTAGTATATAACATACGATAGATTTAATCGAATATTAACGTGATTTATTTTTCTCGATCTTATTTCTTTTATTTGAAGAGTTCAGAATCATTCAAACCAATGGGTTCTTCCTTGTATTTAAAATTATCATAAAATGAATATTCCTCCATGTTAAGTTGATGTCAACTGGAGTTTCAGTGGAATTCCAACCCATGTCTGCTGACGAACAATCATTTCCTTCTCCACCTGAAGATGATCTTCTTGATATTTTTATTCATTGGTTTCTATTTTTAGCCGCAATCATTCAAGTCTATTTTATATTTTCTGCTGTATTTTATTCCAAACCGAATGTGCCGTCTAGTCAACCTCGTGTAGATCGTAATTTGAAAAAGTCCAAAAAGCATTTATAGCGAAATTATTAATCATGTGAATTTAATAAGTATTCTATTCTTATTTTTTTATATTCTAAACTATATGTTACTGTTGCCGGTGTTATCTAATCTTGTAGATAAATTTCGTCGTAAAACTATCGTTTTCACTATTTACTTTTTAATCATGTGTATGCATACTTTTAATGTCATGCTAATATTCTGCTTAAAATAGAAAGGTTACAGTCAAATAATTTATTTTACTCTCTATAAGACACTTAAATTTTTACTTCTTCTAAACATACAAAATTCAGTTGTTATGTTCTGCGGTCTAACAATAACCTATACACTCATCATATGTAAACTCAACCTTCCAATTCAGTAAGAAAACTAAGAGTGAATGGAAATTTTTCTTGACTAGCGTGTTTTTATCTGCCTTGTAAATTTTAACTTGCTTTTTAACCGATAGCTTATTACTGCTTTTTCAGAAAGTCAAGCTAAATCCTAACCGACAGGGTATATCCGTCAGCATCTTTCACTTATCATTTCGCTTAAAAAATGAGTAACACCTTTCTTTCCTGAATATTTGGTCTCCCTTTATTGGATTCAGCTTTAGGGACTGAGATGGAGGTACATAATTATTCACTCGATTCGATTATGTCAGTAGATAAACCTATACCGTATTAACTTATGATTTTCTTACAAAATGAACTTAGTATCTTATTCCCTCAGTCTCAAGAATGCTATTTTTAGGTTGAGTCCACTAGTATGTTCATATATTATGTTACGAACTAGACTTAACGTAAAAGTTACAGTCATAGTACCTGATTACCGAAGCTCTAATAGTTGGGACATCTATAAACCCATTACAATCTAGTTGCGAATCAAGTTATTAAACAAATGGAATACGACTTCGCCTCAATGTTCGATCATACTTAAACTTCGTTGATTTACTCATGTGTAGCATTCTCAATATAAGGTGCTACATTTTATGATATCATATACCTGTTAAATAAATCTGATCTAAAAATAACTAAGCATAGAAAACTTTATTTTTGATTATGTTATATACTACTACTTAGTAGATTTAGAAGTTTATTGAAAGATGGCAAGAGGTTTACACTTCTGAAGTGTTCAGGAGTTTCAGATGTTATTTAAACTGAATGTTAAATTAAATATGAGTTATAACAGCCTGTTACAGTGTACAGTTAGGATTGTTAGGGTCATGATGAGATGAGGAGTTTTGAACTGTTGAGTAGCTAAAGTCTCTACTATTTACAAAGTTTTGATACGATCTTTCTCTAGGTAACGTAATCGGAATTGAGATGTTTATTCTATTCAAAACATAAATATTGGTATAAGAAGGCACAACACTTTAAAAATAGAATTGCGAAGAGAGAGAAAAATGGTGTAAAAAATGAATAGAAATCAGTTTATGAGAGCGAAATAATAATGGAAGTAGCATTTACGTTAGGGTAAATACAACCAGAAATAATTCTTTCAGTCAAAGAAATCCCTCTTGCTTATACGAAGAAAATAAAATAGTTACAGCAGGCCCGCCACTGGCTTCTATCCCAAACTGTGTCTAATACCATTTCTAGAACCTCAACCAAGAAGTCGTGAAGAACCGACAGATGTCAGTCCCGTACAACTTTCATACTGCGACACCATGCCACACACTGGCCACCTCTCCGCTTTTTCCAACCAGTCCCAGCGTTGTCAAATAATGCACAACGTAAAATACACTAGAATAACATTCGTAGTACATGTTGGAGCCATCGAAGTCGGTGTTTCAAGATGATGACACCAACTTAATTATTGTCGTCGTGCCTGAACACCCGTTAGCCGAACCTCTGCATTACTAAAACGGCGTTGCTACTGAATATCAACAGTCCTTCGGGGATAATAGTGATTGAATGCAGAGAGTCATCTAACATCCCTAACTCAGAGAGGGCAGATTTCAAAAGCATAGAGCGAAATCGCTCTCATCGTAGATCCGACCCTTTACAGGCAGACTAATATCACGAGGGTGTCAAGGATAGCTCAGATCGACATAAGCCGCCCTGGCTTTCACCGTAGGTGAATTGGTCTCATCACTCACAAAAGTACCCGGCTCTCCAGATACACAAACTTTCGGACTACTTCTATCTACTCACTACCAAAGGTGAGTGCGATTTCAGAGTCCTGTCAGTCTTGTAAGAGTACTTCGCACTTCGAAGGTTCAAAACGTATGCCATACCTACAGACACTGATTGCCAACTGATTAAGTGCAGATTGCATGGCTTTGGTATCATCGCACAGTAAGACTACCATCTTCCCACTCAAGGTCTAAAGTTCTTTCTCCCGGCAACCGATTCACACCACCGTTACCTACGTCTATCAAAACTGTTTCCATCACATCATCGGTAGCAAATTTAGAGAATTGTGAGTTTGAGCAACCTTACTTAACCACACTTGGATGAAAAAATGGTTGAAGTTGGTTGTATACCCTCACTCTGCCTGAGGTGTTTGCATATGGGGCCTTCAAGATGTTAATAAACTTCTCAGTCACACTCTCCTCCAACAGGCAGTCAAACGAATCGAAGGTGGCTGTAATGTTAAGAAACAACAATTGTCGGCTGACAATAAGTATAGCTGTTATAACATTTGGCGAAGGTTAGAGAAATGATCAACCTATCCTCGACCAGACCGAAAACTAGTCTAATCCTTGTGAGTCAATCTGTCTCGGGTTTTGAATAATCTGTGGATTATGATGGAAGCCATTAATTTGGATGCGGTTGGTAGTAGACTTATCCCCTAATACTTGTTACATAAGTGACGTGAATCCTTTTTAAAGATAGGGACAACTAAGGTCTCATTCGACGATGTTGGGACGCCAATTGCCAAACAGTTGTTAACAACTCAGTCAGTCCCATAGAAGATTGCGATCATCCTTAAAAAGGGACGGAGTTAAGTCATCTGAGGCTGGTGGTTTGTGGTGCTTCAAAAGTTGGAGTTCCTTGCGGACTTCCACCTCGTTAGGCAAATCGTTCGTCACTAGTTATAGAGGATAAGACAGTCTGGTGGGTGTTTCCGGGGCAACATCCTAGCTGGACTGTTCCTTGAAAAACTGTCCATCGTTCGAGATGTCGGCAAATGTTATTGATTGGTGTCCTATGAACTATACATATTGTTTCACTCGTACCAGACATTTTGCTACCAGTGACGCAGATGAGTTGAAGGAGTTTCCAACAGTTACTAGATGCAGCCTCTGCTTCCAACTTGTTAGCACGTCGCGACCACCACGTTTCTCGTTCCCTACACAAATTTTGTCCTATCTGATTACTTGACAGCCTTTTATCGTCAAACTCGCAGTTACGCGAGGTAGACCTATTGTGTTTGTGCAATCTATACAATGACCTTGATGATCGCTAATCACTGTACAGACACGTCAGCCTCTCAATTACCAGCCCCACGGAAATAGAGGAAAAACAACGACTTATGAGTCAGACAGACAGATCAGATCAGATCGTTTTTTTTTTTATTTCAATCATGCCTTTATATACATGCAAAATCAGACTGCATCGTAAACCAATTAGAAAACTGACATCAATACAAAATAACAGTAATAGTGAGTGTGAACTGGGGTAACGCATAGTAGTCAATTAACTATAGTTCATAAATGAGAAATGATATAACAACAGTTAATGCCTCAAACAAGAGTATAGGAAAAGAGCAACGTCACAATACTAGGAATAAAATCCTTACTTTGTATACAACCAAAAATAATGAATCTTAAGCGGAAAAAACAGTTCTAGAAGATAGTCAATCTTCTTTAAGTGCCCGCCATAACAAGACCGACATGCTTCAACGAGTCATAGGCAGACTGTAGAAACCCACTGCTTATAAGCAGGATGTTTCTGGAAGCTGCAAGCGACTCTACTCGCCACTCATTGTGTTGTGCAATTGTAGCCAGTGCTCATCTATCCTTTCCCGTGGGTCGATAGCTAGCCTTGGACCTAGGTTGGTTTGATGTTTAGTTACAACAGAAGCTACAACCAATTTACTGACATCGGTCCGTTTAGGACGATGGATTTGTTGGCCACTGAACGTAAGATAAGACTAGCACAAACAAGGGTATGGTCAGAGTCCAGGTAAGTACTCCGAAAACGTCAGTTTTGTACATAACCACGCCAGATATGGCTAGTCGCAATGTGGTCAACCTGAGCCCAGGCTCGAAATGCAGAGGAAGGACTCTAGGTAGCATATCGGTTATGACTGTGCCAATAGTTAGTGCTATCTACAAACATATTTAGTGTGAAAGTTACAGCAGACTATCTCCACTGGCCTCCCAAATGACTCTCTTCAGTGCCTAGACCCCTGATTTGCGCATTCAAGTCTCCGGCTAGTACTACAATACTTGTAGAAAGCAGTTCCCGGTGAAGATCACGCAACTCGTAGAACTCATCCTCAGTTGCATTCTGGCTGCAATCGTTCGAGGCGTATGTGAAAATAACGAAAAGACACCGTTTCTCGCACTATTTTCTCAATTTTATCTTTCTAATCCTTTAACGTACAATCGACTGTTGATGGTAATCCAACCTTTTGCAACACCACCCATAAAAATCAAACGAAGATGCCACAGGGTATCAGGACAAACACACTAGAAACAGGCTTTCTGAAGCAGCGTTACTAGAAACTTGAATACGGGTCTCTGGTAGACAACTGATATGGATGTTAAGAATTTCTGAAGCCGTAGACAACCTTATCTGTTGGGGAAGGCCACTTTGCATGACATATGTAGTTTCAGTAACGGTTATTTAGAATTCGTACTCGATGACATCATTGAAATTTTGACCAGTCAGTTACTTGAAATCTTTTAGGTAGAACAAGATTTTCACCATAGGTGAGCTGCTGTATGAGTTCATGTGTGTGGAATACACGAAACAAAAACAAAGAAATAAACAAGCGACACAACGTAAAATAAAAATGGATGTTACCAACTGATTATGAGTACAGCTTATGAGAGTGAAAATTGAAGCGAGCATAACTATTTCGACTAGTAGTAATCATTAAGTTCAAATGAGGGGTATGATATTGTTCAGGTGTCTTGGCCGAAGCACGTGATCGTCTTAGGAGGCCACTCGCCAAATCTTTGGGAAAAAGATATAATTCACCGTACAGTGGAGCAACATCACCAGCTGCATTCCCATCACAATCGGTGACCGAGTATAGAATCACACGCCGTTCCATCAATCAAGATCCTAAAGCCCATATGCATCCTCGATTTAGAACCACGGTTTTCCAACTTCCCTAGATAGATCCTCCATTTTCACCAACCTGATCTAGGCCTCACTGGATATTCACTTTTTGTTCTTCCAATTTCGGTAAACAAGACCTGTGCCACGAGAAGGCAGTGAGTAGCCTTATTGTCACTTGCTACATGAGCGTGGTCATGTGAGGGCATTTGGAGAGTGAGAGCGGAATCGCCTCACTTTCAGCAGTGCCAGAACATGTAAGAGCTATCAGTTGTCTTATATTTACTTTTTGAAAGCCGTTTAAAATAATTTCCTAAGATATCAAAAAGTATTCACTTTGTATGACCAA